TTATTTATTTATTTTTTTTTTTGGGGGGGGGGGGGGGGGGAGAGAGAGAATTGCTGAATTTTCATAGATTCTGCATCCATTATATGACTGCCCTGTAAATTATCTATATTTTAGCCATCAGAGAGTGGTAGGTGAGGGATGCATTGCACTTTGCAGATCTATAAGCTCAGAGGGTATGGATGTCGTGAAGGAGTTGCACAATTGGCAAATGTATATAATACATGTACTATAAATATTTACTAGTACCTTTGCCTAGGAGGCTATGTTTTCATCTCATAGTCTCTTTGCCTCTTTGTCACCAGCCTAACTCAAAAACTTATGAATGATTTTGATTGACTTTCAGGATAGGTGATAAATGGGCTGACTTTACATTTGTTAGATTTTGGTCGTGATATATGATCCATGAATTTTTTATAGGATACTTCACCATTGCGACTTAGGGCCAATTTCGCTGACCCCTAAATCAGGAAAGGTGCTAATAGGTCACTGTGCAATGAATGTGCTTTCAACCACCAATCTTATTGATCAATTTATCAACTGTGCTAAGTCCTTGACGAAGGTCCAACTTGAGTGGACAAAATTTGACTGGAAACACGGAGTTAACAACTGAACCGCTTTTTATTGTAGCATTGTCCCATTATCATCCTTATAAATATACGGCTGGTGGTACATGTGTGGGGACCACCCCCATCTCTCAGTGCCTCTATTTCATACAGGATGAATACTCTAATTTTCTCATTTTATTTAACCAAAGCAAATTATCTTTCGATATTTGGAAGTAATTTTTATATGCTATCCTTGGTAGGCTTAATATGGTCGGCTAAATGCGAGTTATTTATGTCATTAGGTTCATATGCCCTAGATATAAATTGCATGCTGATTATCAGGCAGCTATCATGTGCCACTACTGCTACACTGTAATGTGTTCCAAGGGTTTGCATGTACTGAAGTAAACCACAAAAAATCAATAAGTGGATGTTTATTACTTTCCAATGCTATTTCTGCTTGGTATAGTGCTTTTTGAATTATTGGTGAGAAATACTACTCTCTCGTGTGTATTGCACATTTTAGAAATCAGCCAAATCTTTTAAATATTGCAAATTTACTGCATCATCTGTGTACCTAGTAGAGCTAAGTAAGCTTAAAAAATTTTCACCTTATATCAGGGGCTCATAACTCTATGACGAAAACATTTACACCAAAATGTTGGCACAGGATTGAAGACCATACACTTGTCTTCACCTATGCCAATTTTATATTACTGGTGATCTATCTATCTATCTATCTTTTTTTGATGGATTTTAATTATATTTTGTCAGCACAAATGTAGATGCATTATTGAATAATAACAGAGAGGAAAAACCTCATTTTCAGTATCTGGATGATCATTCACCCTAACAGTATCCTGAAACATTCACTGAGGAAGTCTGCTTGTAAAAGCAATTATTACACACAGTGTCCAGTGTTTAAATGATCAGTATCTTGATTCCTTAAGGAACAGGCTTTGTCCCATGACAACATTAACATACATAGTGTTCAGGATGTTACTCACACAAAGACCTGATGTGGTTTTGTCTTTGGCTTTTATTATTATTATTATTTAATCAATTGTTTATAGCAGTCACTACCCTCTGTAAGTGAATCTAAGAAAGCAATTGTGTGACAGCACATTTTCGTGAATGAAGTCACTGCACATGCTAAGGAAAAGAAAGAGAGAAAAGTCTGATAGATATGGAGATTTTGTCTGAATCAAAGAGATATGTCCCTAAATCAGGAGAGTCCCAACAAGATCAGGAGTGTTGAGGGGTTTGGATTGTCAAAAGTTGATTGTATAACCACTGTAATACATAGTCGTAACCCAATTGACTTCTCCTGGTGGGAAGTTTTCTTAGTGAGAACTGGTGCAGTGTTAGGCCACTGTAGATAAGACTTTATAATCCAAGGAGCATTTACTAGGACTAGTAAACAGACAGATGCATCTATTCCTGTCAGTCTACATTGCATCACTAGAAAACCAAAGCAGTTCATGGGTTACCAGCTATCGCACCCATCATTATGTCAGTGTGAAATGGGTCTGAGAAGAGGACAGTCTAAAAAGATATACCACTGTGCCAAAGACTGCTTAATTACTAGTATGTCATTCATGCCTGTAGCCAGCAATTTCATTTTTTTTTTGTGTGTGTGTGTGTGTGTGTGTGTTGTGTGTGTGTGTGTGTGTGAAAAAGTGGACTTTTTAACTATAATGGCACAGGAAATTTTGACACAAAAGACACATTTTTCAAACCAAAATGACAGTGTATTATAACCCTTCCTGCCCCCCCCCCCCGCCCCCTTGCCTCCAGGCCCTTATTAATTGATATGTCTGACTGATACATGTATCTTAATACAGTATAGACCTTAATACAGTATAGAATCAGTCTGACTTCCTAGTTATGTCTGAATTGGCCTTTATATATATATATATATATATATATATATATATATATATATATATATATATATATATAGGTTAGATCTAGGCTTATCAATAGAACAAGAATAATGCGGAACAGATGTTATTAAGTATGTATCTCCCATTGAATGGCCTTAGTGTATCAGTCGGGTTCAAATGATCTAGTATTCATCTGTGTCTGCGTGATTTGCCATGGAGGTTGTGTAAGTAACATCTTTATGTACTTTATTTGATTTGACAGAGGTGAAGTAATTTTATTTTTGTGTTGAATATGAGTTTGAGTGACATGTATAACAAAGGTAGTGACAAAATTTAATAATTGTGCTCCCAGGAACCCAAACAAAACTCAGTTATGATTAATGGGTTATTGCATATTTACTGTGCCATGTCATAACCATATGATTTTGTTTGTTCCAGTTGAGCAAGCTGTAGAGGCTCTCTTCAATTTGTCCAGCACAACCTCCACCCCACCCAAAATAGCAGCAGCCTCGCCATTTAGGATGATAGCACAGTCCTTACAAAACTCAGAAGAAAGTCAAAAATCACAGCAATTGGAAAATTTCGAAGAGCAAAGCCTTCAGAACCACTGTAAACAAATAACTTCCGGGGATTTTTACCAAGATGACAGCTGGTCAACCTCTGTGGTACCCTCAGAGGAGAGATCACATGGCAATTTAGACCAGTTGGATTCTTTTTTAAGCCCAGAGGGAGAGGTGTTGGCTTTTGACACATCGCCTGTGGGGATTAAGAGGGGACAGCAAATAGAATCTGATTTAGAAATGGACTGTATTGAAAGTGAGAAAAAACATTTACCATGTGGAGCACAACCAGGCTTGTCAAAAAATCTAGAATGTGTTGCAGGAACTAGGAAAAAAACTGAGGTCCAAGACCTTGAGTTTAAAAGAATTAAGGATAATGCAATGAGTGGCTCGTTTAATTGGGAGAAGGCCAAATTGGATTTTTATTCAAATAACATGCCAGGTAATGGTGGTGTTCAAAGAAGCAATTGTTCTGCTCACGTGCCTTCTTTCAAAAGACAAAATTCAAAAGATGATTCTTATTTGAATTTTCAAGAACCTGCTTTATCACGAATAAAAACTAATTACAGTGATCATTACTTATCAAATTATCCCCAAACTTTAGAGCCACTCGATTTGCACTGTACTTCTAAAGGCAATCATGTGAATGGATATCATGCCAACGATGGAAACAATGACAGTTTGAGTCGTCTCCACGAAATTACAAACTCCAGTGGCAATGCAGCAGTGTTAATGGCACCTAGTCATGAGGATCAGTGCTCTTTTAATTTGGAACAGCAGAATTTAATAAGAGGCCATCATGAAGGGGATGTGACAGTTAAAAGGGGGTTCAGATCTGCCATCATGTGATGTACATGCATTGAGCACAATGGGTGGATGCCACAAAGACAATGATGAAAGCAGACCAGGAATTCATAATGAGCAGGAGGGAGCTGCTAATAAATGTGAGGAAAGGTCAGAGTCAGGACAAGTAGCAGTTCCTGAAAGTGTGCCAACAGAAAGGGATGTTTTTCATGATCCTCCAGCTGTTGGCAGGATACAGACTTTGTCATCTCTCTCCAAACAAGTGCTCAGTCACAGGGACCAGGTTGAGGGACAGCAAATATTGTCTGATCACAGGGAACAGGGCAAAGTACTGCCAGCTCATTCAAATCAGCTACTAGGAAAACAGGATTGTGGTCAAAGGGAACAAGACAAAGCACAAATAGGAAGTAATAGCGTGTTTTCCCCATTTGCAAAGGAATTTGTGCCATCTGGTCAATGGACAACACCAATTTTCCAGGCACAAAATTTTCCAGGATTTGGCAATTCTGAAAACGTTGCTTTTCACGCAGGTTTTACTGTACCAAAATTCCAAATAAAAAGTGGAGAAGGTACTTTTCCACCAACCTCTCAACCTTCAAGAAATTGGGTCACTCCAAAAGGGGTCAGAGGTCGAGGTTTTTTCAAAGGTCAGGGTCAAGGACAAAATATGGACTCGAAAGTCACAAACTTTGCTGCAGTGGCAAGTAGGCCTGCAGCACCTGTACAAGTAAATAGAAAGAAATTCCATGAAAATGATCGCTCACCTTCCAGGCAACGCCCAGGTTATGCTGCGATTAGGAATACAATTGCAGAGCATCTGAAGCAAGGCAAAAAAGTGCTGATTATATTGAGAGGTCTATCTGGGAGTGGAAAGTCGACATTGGCAAGGTAGGTAACACTGGGGATTTTCAAGTTCGTAAGCAGAGTTTGTAAAAGTGTTGTTCAGGCAAGCAAGCCCTTTAGTTTGGTGGTGGGGAGATATGGGACTGGGAGGGCGGGCCTCTGGATCTTGCCACTGAAATTGCCCTGAAAAAATGCTAGATAGGTTTGTTTACTAGTAAGCATTTGAAGCCAAGGTTATGCCTTTCTTTAATAGGCAATCATCAGTTGTGAGATGGTTTTGACTGGTCAGATAATGTTCAGATATGGAAATATGAGGTTTGCTCAACCTAGTTAGTGTTACTGAATTTGTGCACCTGTCAAAAATCTAAATGGTTGTACCCAAGTTTGTTTTTCAAGTTTGATAGGAATTTTATAAAGCAGAAAATTTTTTGGCACTTACTAGCCAACAATTTTATTTATCTATTTATTTATTTCATTTCATTTTTATTTATTTATATTTTATAATATATTCAATACCAACCCAGACAGCACACTGGCTTCTGAAACTCCTTAATGTTTACATCACCTGACTAGAAGTATTATCATGCCACAGATCTTTACAATTATAGTAATATCATATGTCATATAGATAAATCATTGATATAAATTATGTACATCATGACAGTTTAAAGGTCAACAACAATATCTACATGGATGCATTTGAACTGTGGGCTTATACAAATATGGGACCTTATTTCTTATTTATATTAAAATAACATTGTATTTTATACTGATAACAGTGTTTTAAATTTTTCTTCCGACAATACAACCGATTTAACAAACTAATATTACTTTTAACCAGGAGAAATTCTGGTTGATTCTTTTTCCTTTGTCATGTGAAAGAAGGAAGTATAGCTATTTCTTTTTGTTTCTCTTTCCTTTTTTACATAAGGGAGACATTCATGATAAAAAACCAAATTATATTTATGAAAATGGCCAATTATGGTTTGAGAAATTTATAACAAGTATTTTCAGTTACAAAACTGTTAAAATAGTACCAGTAAATTGAAATAAAGCTTTATTTCAACAGTGAATGTTTTTATATTCATGGCTTGTTTTAAAAACAAAATTTTGCCAGTTAAAATGATAATGACCTACATTGTGTTGTTAAGTAGATAAGGAAATAGGAAATAAAGACACCTGTTGTTAGCCAAGTGTCAGTACAGGCTGATGCAATATATCTGACACACAGTTTAAAGGCACTTAATATTCTGATAACCACAACAATCTGATTCAACAATCTGATATATATACATATAAATATTAAGTGCTAGTGTGTCTTTGATATTATGGATTCTTCAGTAAAAGCTGATACAGCAGCTATTTATTAGGGCATATTATGATACTGCATGTATGCATTAAATTGCCAATACAGCATACTCGTACTAGTAGGCATTAAATTTTGAGTAGTGATGCAGGACAAATCTGTAAACCTTTGAGTGACTTACCTTTGTGACTGACAACAGAGGGGGTTGGGGGTGTATCATGATGTCCTTGTTATCCTCCCCTCCCTGTGCAGAGAGACAGAAACCCCATTGTTCATCAGACCCTGAGATACCTGTCTGGAGAACAGTTTCACAAAATACCTCTAGGTCAGAACTGGTCTAAATTTTGGTTTACTACTACCTCATTTCATGATAAATTCATGGTAATCAACTTAAAAGGATTATATATATAATTATTAATTACTGGTGTAAAACATTCCCCATTGGTTTTTTTTTTAATGAATCAGGCGAGTGTTTCATTTGATTGGAACACTTCTAATTGATCGTCTTTGAAAGTAGACTTAAACTTCTGTCTAAAAGATTTGATGTATTTTGGAGTAATATTTATCTTGTGACACAGACCCCTGTTATAACCTTGGAGAAGTGAATTCTTTTTAAAGCTTACCTAAAAGCAAGTAGCACAAACAAACACACAAACATGCACTGAGCTCAAACGTATTATTACAAATGATGATATCCAAAAATTACATGGTAAGTTTCAATTGTTTTTAACAGTGCTGTAATTAAAATGTTTCACCTTCATATTTCAGAGAGATTTGCTTTGAAGGAAAAATTTTGTCTTCAGACGACTACTTCCTTAAAAATGGGGTGTATGATTTCAAGATTGAGGAGCTTGGGGAAGCCCATAACGAAAACAAACTACTAGGTCAGTTAAGTCCTTTTTCACACTGATCAGTATACTAAAGCAATGCAGTCTATACACTGATCAGTATACTAAAGCAATGCAGTCTATACACTGATCAGTATACTAAAGCAATGCAGTCTATACACTTATCAGTATACTAAAGCAATGCAGTCTATACACTGATCAGTATACTAAAGCAATGCAGTCTATTCCAGAACATTAAAGTTAGCACTCTTTGTGAAATGTTCCAAAATTACTTGATCATTGCAATGAGCAATAATTATCAAACTTTAAGGTATAATTTTGCATAGAATAGAATGAAAGAGTAGCCTGCTTTTAAATTTTGTTGCTACCACTCAATAGGAATGTTCTGATTTTAAGAAATTTTGACTAAAGTTTATAAATTCAGTATCTGAAAAATTCCAAAATTTTTCCCCATTGGAACAATCGAGTAATTACCATACCTAAAAGTGTTGTCACACAAGGAACTTAAGCCATAACAAAATATTCTTAATTATAATACATATTGGTGTCAAAATTTTTGTCAATTTTGCTAATAGAATTTCTCATTAATGAGAATGTATTGTATTGTATTCTACTGCGTAGTATTTCACTACCTTTCAAATACACCATTTGTTGTATTTTATTACTAGTACATACTTTTTTTTTTATTGAACTTAGGAAATGTTAATTACAGTATTCAATACTAGTACATACTTGATATTACAAAAAATGTATTTGGATTTTTTTCCATTGGCTTTTTAGCAAAAGAAGCAATGGAAAAGGGACTTAACCCAGTGGTAATTGACAATACTAATTCAATGAGATGGGAGATGAAGGCTTATGTGGTATTGGTAAGTACGTGGAAAGTGAAAATGTTTGCATAACACCTTTTAAAAAAAGGTTCATTTTATATCTGTAAAATGGTCTTATTAATAAATGTTTGACCATGAAAGGGGGGTGCTCGTGAGTCCAGTAGTGCATTGATCATTTATAATGAAAAATATACATACATATAAATAGAATGAAATATTACAGGTTTGAACAATCTAGCTGGACTCTGTCCTATTACCAAGCAAATCATGTTTTGGGTTCAGCAATTCTGTGTGGTTCTAATACATCAGATTGTGTGTAAAATCTCTATATTTCAACAGCTTGAGCCTGCAGTGCCCTCAGGGTTTTTTCCAGGTGTTAAGCAAGTTGAAAAAATTGATTTCCGTTGAGAAAGAAATTGGCTCCAAGAGTCATTGATCTGAAGTTTCTTTTTTTGCACCAAATCTTATTTTCCCCAAGAAAAGCAATTTTCCTGCTCTTTTCACATTTAATAAGTAAGAGCTAAATGGATCCTGATACATATACATTACATTTTAGACTACCTTGCCTTACTGACATGTCTGAAAGAAATATCGACAACAGGCACTTTTATTTAAAGGTAGTGTGCATCCATTTAAAAATTCCCAAGAGTCATTTTTGATCCTGAAAATCTTCTTCAATACAACTTACGTCAGACAATTGCAAACTGACATGCTACACAAAATTTCAAGTGACTGTGTCTAAAATTGAAATCATGAAAGACTTGCAAAAATACTCAAGAGTTCTTTGTCCAATAAATCCAGATTTTGACCCTGATCTCAACAAAAACCCCAGAATGTATTCCCCTTTATATACTCTTAAGTTTTCATAAAATTCCAGCTATTTTTGTAAGAGTTATGAGCAGTTATGTAAAACAATGGTCTTGTCTCAGAATGTTAATGAAAAATATAAAATGGTGCAAAATCTGGATACAGACCCAGACAAAACCAGTTAACAAGTACTTTCCTCCATAGCCCATGTCCAATCATCCTACCTAAAATTAGGATGATCAATAAAAAAAAATATGGTCTGTAGCATGCAAAGAAGTAGACAAATCCACAAATAAACATACAAACAAGAGAATCAACATAACTTGTGAAAATATTTTTGCAATTAAGTTGATGAATAGCATTTGGGGGTAAACAAGATATTTAAACTTTTTTCAAAACCATATTTTCATTGGTCTAAATTGGACCATAATTTTACACACCTTAAATCACCAATATTTATATTCTTCACGTGAAATAATATGAGGATTGGCCTCACTCCAACATGTTCATTTTCTACAATTAGTGTCTCCAGTCTGAAACAGACTCAGCATTGCAAGCTTAATATGGTTTTCTGAATTTCAGAGGAACATGTAATTAGAGAAATTTTGTTATGGTATGCTGTTTCTGGATTTCCAACCATAAATTCAACATATATTTTTAATGGCACAGACTAAACTGCTGAAATATTTATATTGCAGGCACAGAAATATGGGTATCATGTGGAGATCTTGGAACCCAACACACCATGGAAGTTCAATGTGAAAGAATTAGCAAAGTAAGTACACCTCACACACACACATACACAGGGGCAGATACAGACCTATTTACTGACAGTCTTCCAAATTATCTTTGTTGATACATCCTCCAATTTTGACCATCTTCCAACGTGAAAAATTGGATACCTGTCAATGTAAACTTGAAAATCTGACCGTCTTCCGGAAGACCCAGAAGACGGCCTAAATCTGCCCCTGACACACACACACACACACACACACACATTAAGAATATATGTGTGTTTGCATATTGACTTCTCAAACCAGTGTTTTATTAACAGTAGCAGAAAATGATAAAAGTTATAAATAAGGAGTTGGATAGTTGAAGTATTTGAATTTTGTTTGCCATTACTGTGAGTCATGGCATCGTGAATTTTTTTTTTTTTTCGTAGAGGTATATGCACCCTGTATGTATGTCAAATTGTTTGTATCTCCACAAGTTCTGCTGTTCTTTAAAATTTGTATACAGTATAGACCCAATTGGTTATAACAGCCTTTATGAATTATTTTCTACCAAAATTTAAATTTTATTAAAACTCAAAGTGCTAATTCAAAATATTAGCTGGTTTTGTACTGTGTCAAAGGTATATTTTGTGTGTCTGCAAATGATAAAAATTGACAAAGAAACAACTATATTATTAATGTTTCATAGTTGCCTTTAATTTCTAATTTGTGGTTTTCTTTATTTGGAACCTTTCAATTTCCCCTGTGTAATGCAGTGGTACTATTTATTTGTGTTCTACTGTATCATCTTCTATATCTCTGACTTACAGAAGAAACACTCATGGTGTCCCCAAGGAAAGAATTCGGAGTATGTTACAGAGATATGAAAAGAACGTAACAGTGGAGTCTATTTTGGGGTCAGAGATGCCAGCCAAGATAACAGGGTGAGTTGTATGGAACAGCGGCCAGATGACTTTGTCATAAAAGATACTAGAGAAAGGAAGAATTGTTTAAGTATTGAAATACACCAAATGTCCATTTTCTGTGTTGATGTCTTTTTAAAGGCTCAAAAGGTTGTTTTCAGTTATAATTTTGTCTTATTTGTAGGTAATGGTGTGCTTTTAGCAAAAGGCTTAGCTTAATAGTTTTACACCAAATGGAGCAACTGTAATTTCCATTCCATTGATATGATTTTATTCTCTGCAAATTGTTATTGAGAATCCTTTACATTACATGATTATATGTGCACATAAAATACTTCAATCATTTAAGCTTCAATGTTGATAATATATAATTCTAAGACCAAACTGTAATCTTAATTCTGCATTTGTGAAAACTAAAAACTGTATTACACATCTGTACTAATTATTCAACCTTAATTTTCTTAACATAAAAACAGTGGAAGAATGTATCTGTCATATGACCTGGATATTAGTTGAAATTTTAATATAAAATGTCAAAAGTTAGAAGTTAATTGCATATTTGCCTTTGCAGGAAGCAACAGCAGTCTCCTAAAGCAAAGCCAGGCAAAGGTCATGGTCAGAGGCAAGGTCGAACCCGTGCAGCAGCCACAGGTTCTAAGGGCAACTCGACTGATACAGTAAAAACTACCAACCGGTCTGATAAGACAGCAGAAGCTCAGGGAATAAACAAGGACAATGTTCCCCCAACAGAGTCAGGCAATAATGATCTTAAAATGCATGGGGATATATGTAGTATTGAAACTGACACAGATCTGGAGTCTGTTATTAATGCTGAACTGAATGAGGCTGACCATGTCAGTTCACTTTCATCTCATGAAAGTTTAACCCTAGAAGCTCCCAGAAAAGAAGACCCAAACAGGCTTGTTTTAGGGGAACTACAGGCAACTCCAAATGACCCAGATTTGATGGTGCAACAGGCAGTTTCAAATGACCCATATAATACATTACAAATCAAAACTCATGAATCAGATAAAACAGATCTCAGCGTGCAAGTGTTAGACGATAGAGATAGTTCTGTTGACTTAGATCAGGAGTTTGAAAGGTTTTTGGAGGCTGAATCTGCTGTAACAGATGAAAAAGTGAATTTAGACAAAGAATTGGATCCTTCCAGTGCTACACTGGATATGAATGCTTCCACACAATCAGATAGTGCTGGCACTTGTACAACAACTACTACATATACTGCTACTAACTCAGCTATAGAAACTGCCTACTGGTCAACACCAACATCAAAAGAACAGCCCCCCTGTGAAGCTCCAGCACCTGACCCACTATCTACAGACCCTGGTACCAGCCAGGACCATAGCACAGTAGACTGGCACGTGCCAAAGACTAGGAGAGAAAAACTGGAAGAACAGAAGAACATGAGGCAGCTGCAACAAAAAAGTTCAGAAGTTGATGTGAGTAGTAATTCCCAGTCCCAGAATACTGTGGTACCATCAAGTGACAAAGAGTTGGAGATTCAGACCAGAGTGACCAATGGTGTCCAGTCAGAGGGCAGTTCAGTCGGCTCCACACCGTCCAGTCCAAGGTCCCAGAAACCCAAGCGGATGCCCAGCAAGAAGAGGCTTGCTGCCCGATTGAATGCACCCAAGCTTGACTCGAACACCAAGCAACAACTTCTTCAGGGGCACTGGGTCCTTCCCAGCTTCGATACTTCACAGATCCCCACTGATACACAGTTACCTGGTTTACAGAAACTTCAGCTGTCCCCAGACGCACTACAGCCTGGAGACACAAAACAACTAGATATGTTGAGTGCAGGCTCTCAGACCACTGCCCAGGACAAGGCCCTTCTGCAGAGGGTTAATTCAAACTTGGCCATTGGTCAAGAAATGGACGGTGTCCACATTATACGTGGAACTGCCAGAGTGATAGCTGTGTCAGACAGTGACTCTGGTAGTATGGACTCCAGAGAGAGCACACCTAGCAGGCAGTTACGACTTATGCTGGATAAAAGCAGCATGACGGAAGACGAAGAGGTGCCAGTGGCTGAGAGAGATGAGAAATCAAATCTGGCAAAGCTTCAGGTCTTATTTCCTACTGTTCCAGTGGAAGATTTGAGAGATTTGTTGGAGAAATGTGAACAGAATTTAGGCTGGGCGGTTAATATTTTACTGGACTCAAACAGGGAGTCCATAACTCTAACCCCCAAGGTCAACCCTGTTCCAACTCCCCCAGGGTTACCTAAACCACTCTCACTTGCTGAAATGTGCAGTGGATATTTAGACAAGAGAGCTGCTTTGAGTCAAGCCTCTGCTTGTGATGACTCCCCAGCAGAGGGGGTTGCTCTACAAACAAAAAGAGAAACCAACACCAAGGTTATAGGAGGTAGTTTTTCAAGCAGAGGGGCTCTTTCACTATCACAAGACAGGCTTGGCGAAGGATTTCCTCCTCTTGGTTCAAATTATGAAGAAGATTTTATCAGAGAGACATCTGTTTGTGACAACAGTGACAATAGTGATAGTGAGAGTGAAGAAAGTTTGGTAGATGAGGAAGACAGTGGACTGATCCTGAAACTGCCAAAATCTTTTGCTAGGAAACTGGAAGAAATGTTTGGAGTAGTAGGGGAGAAAATTGCAGGTAGGCTTAAAGAATGCATTTGACACAGTTAAATCTGAATCCTTCTTTTAGAGAACTAAATGAATCAAAGTTAAACCCAGGGATGTAAATGAAGTTGTTTTAGTCTGACTTTTCAAGTCTTTTTAGGGGTGTGGGCAAACTTTTTAACTTTTCTGGTCAAATATACAATTTCACTCCATTTTTCCCAGACATGGCATTTTTAGGTCTAAATTTAAGATATATACACAAAACATTCCATCTTAGGTTTGATAATTATTTCCTATTTCCATCAAATTTATTTTATTTTATTTATTCCTCCAGACACTCCAGCAGACTTAAAGGTGAGCCTCAGCTATGAGGTTGCCAAGAGTTTACATGACTGCTGGCTGAAGACACTGCAGAGAGCCATGTGGAATGAGACACAAGACATTGCACAAATGGAGAAAGAAGGTGAGCTCACATAATTACCTGATTTGTTATTGTGTGTGTGTGTGTGTGTGTGTGTGTGTGTGTGTGTACATGTTTGTGCAAGGAAGGTAGCTAGTAGCAGAAGTGATTGTGATCCCCCTTGTTTGTTATCTTTTTACATCCAACATTCTGATCACAAAGAAGGCTTCTATCAAATGTTTCAACTGCTCTACTATCCTTTTTATTTGTGATATTTTTTATTTTAAATTTATTTGCTTATTGCAAAGGAGAATGCAAGATGAATAGAACTACGCGTGTAACTTTTTTCAATTTTTTTTTTATTTTTACAGATGAAGAATTAGCAAGACAATTGCAAGAGGCTGAAAACTCCAGATACAGCGGGGTACATCCAAATGTAGACTGGTTCTCCTTCCCAATAGATGGCAGTTCAGTCAAAGACAGGCTACTGAAAGGTGATTCTGACAGCATGGATGGGTCACAGAAGAAGAAAAAGCCGCGAAAGTCCCAGGCCCAGAGGAGAAAGCTGAAGGCCAAAGCCCTGCCTGTACAGCTGAGGGAAATAATGGACCAGCAGAAGGCACTGCAGGTTGAAAGAAATGTAAGGAATACTTATAGTCATTTGTATGGCCTGTTACCAGTGTATTTTTTATGAAGCAGCTTTCATTATATATAGATAAGTTTTCACTGCCATTATAATTTTCTTTGATTGGCAAATATTTAACCTGGTAATATATTCCAAAGATGTAATTGCAACTTCTGTCTTTAATGAAAAAAGTTTTTCATGGTATCTTGATAGTATGATATTCTTGGCTTAGAGATTACTAAAGAACTGAAGTCATTCACAACATTTTTATCCACCTCCTGTGGACTTTGATCAAATGAATGGGGCACCTATTTCTACAGACGATGGGTTGAAATGCTGTATATAAGTCTTGTTATTTAGTCAAGATTAACTGTTTTATCAACTTCTCTTTTATTACTTTCACTTTATGACAGTATCACTTGATCAGTTATTAACATTTTCAAAATGATGTGTTATGTTTAAGCTTCATTTTGAAGATTATTCTCTATGATAACACAATTATTTGATTGCATCTAGTAATTATCTCCATTTTTTCTCATCTTTCAGCTCCATTTAGCAGAGAACAGTTCAGATAATAGTATAGCTACAAGGATCAAGCGTCAGCAGTTAGCTGAGATGTTCCCAAATATAGATGAGAAACCACTAGATGAGCTGTTTGCTGCTAAAAAGTAAGGAAAGACCCCATCCATGGCCTAGCTTCAGGAAAGAACTGTAGAACACAAGTTGGTCTTAACTTTTAGACCAGTTTTCTTAGTCTGCTTGGATCCAAAGTGGATGTATGTTTCTCTACTTGGTGGACCTGTTTTATCAAAAAAAAAAAAAAAAAGATAAGGCTAATGATATAGACCAGTGGTTACTTGATTTTGGTTGACTTTGAACTATTATAAAATTATGGAGATTAGTAATAAATGTTTTCATTAAAAAGTTACAGGTTACCATCATACAAACTGTAGATAACTTAGATCGAAATGAGCACTGGTTGATATTGTGTTCTTTTCATACTCTCCACTTGCCCTCTGAAACTTCCAGTCCCCAAATATCCTGTTATCACAGAAAATTAAGCAGAAGTGAGGCGATCGTGGAAAATAATGTATTCTTAGGTTTTGTGCCAAATATCAAAATTGTCATCTTTATGATACTCTTGTAAGAAATCTGCAGAGTGTAGTTTAAGGATATCTATATGCAAGGGAAATTAAATCTAATACATTATACTGGGCTTACAAAATTATAAACTTAAAATCTAACATTGATATCTTTACCACCAATATACTTTTGCCCTCTATGTGACACACTATTGGATGAACCAGAGCATCCACTCTGTCATTCTTATGCCTTATTGTAGTCACATTTTCATCTTCACATTGTTTACACATTATTCAATTAATTGAACATTTGAGAATTGCAACAGTTTCTGCATTTTTGTTTTTGTAATCTCCCAATTTGTTCCCTTGCTTTCAAATTCATAATTTAAAAAAATTGTTTTAAGAAGGAAAAAAATTCATCAAGTCACTAGTGCATTCATTTATTCATTAGCTCATGTATTTAGATATAAAGTGGTCCATGGTCTTTACCAAAACCTCCCCTTGTGACCAACCAGTTTCTTGTCCTTTCAGCTATGAGCTGGGGCCAACCATAGAAGTAGTGAAAGAAGTCCAGGGGAGAACAGCGCCCCCTAGGGATGTGATGGCGCCAGAAGCCCTGGCAGAGTATGAGAGATTGCTAATAGAGAGAGCTCAGCAGGAAAGTCTTGAAGACCAGGTTAGCCTCCAAAATTTGCCACACATGTACACACATGTACCCATTTGTGCGTTCTCACACACACGCACACGTGCGCGCACACACATTTGTTATTTGTAATTTCATATTGAATTTTTTTATTATGCAAACTTATGCATAAAATGTGCCAGTGAAAAAAGTTTGTCAATGCTGCATGGAATGGTTGTCATGAAAAAAGAGTTGAAAAGACTTTCTCAAAACAAAATAAAATCTTCAGTAATTAGCTAATATCTTTGAAGGTATAGGGTAAATTTTTGTATGAAATCCAACCCCATGCTCAATTTCCCATTAATTTCAGCGACGCTTGGCCTCTAAGCACACAGAGGACTACCAGGACTATGAAACCCCTGAGTACCAGGACTTCAGGGCAGAGGCAGACATGCACTATGCCCTGAGACAAGAGTGCTTTCAAAAAGCCCAAGAGGCCCACAGAAGGGGCATGCAGCAAGTGGCTGTGTATTATTCTCAGCAGGTATGAATGAGAGGCCCAGTTGGGGGTCAGTCTGCATGTAGATGAATATTTATGGGAGCAAGGGTCTGTCTCACACAAGAAGTTGAACAGGACAATTGGTTTAAATTTTATCAACAATTATTTATTCTACTTCAGGATAATTTCACAGTAGTCCATGTAGATGATGGCAGTATTGGTCTGAAGCATAAGTCATATTATTTATTTATTTATATAAACTTCCATTGATTTATCATGTGTCATAGAAGGCTGAAAGTTGGGTTTAACATTCAAGAGCTATTTCACATTTAAGTTATTTTCTACCCCACATTCAATATTTGAAGAATATATTTTTTGTTTTATTAACCATATCAAAGTCTCTCTGTTGTTAGGGTCATCTTCATACTCAGTATCTGAAGGAGGCAAACAGAAGAGCCTCTGAGAAGATCATAGAATACAAGTAAGTAAATGAACCTTTCCAGAACTAAAGTCTTTTGGACAGTAGTAGAGAGTAACCTGTTAATTATCCCATTGATTCTGAGTGCTGGCTTGCAGAACTTTACGTTACATTTGGTTAAAGTTTCATTGTATTAGATCTTATAAAAACATCATGGTTTTCTAGCAATGCTTGCTTACTGGACAAGGCATTAAATCTCATAAAAATATCACAGTTTTCTAGGAATGCTGTCTTTCTGGACAATGTGTTAAATCTTGTAAAAATATCACTGTTTCTAGGAATGCCAGCCTACTGGACAAGGTGTTAGATCTTATAAAATAATCTCCGTTTTCTAGGAATGCTGGCTTGCAGGACAATGTGTTAGATCTCCATGGATTGCATGTACCTGAGGCTTTGGCTTTACTGGAGAGAGAGATGCAGACCAGGGAAGCAGGTCTGTGTACACCAGTAGGCCTGTATCCACACAGACACTCTCACACACATGCTCATTTGCCCAAAAGATTTAACAAAAGTTTGTAGATCACAATGAACTGGATCATGTTTCAGAACAAAATGATACCAGTCTACTGATACCTACATACTACCCATCCAATATCAGAGTGCCTCTGCCCTCCCCATCAACTTTTGAAAGCATTATATATCTGATCGGCTTAGAAATTAAGAGGTGTAGTGTTTTAATATTTGGTCAGAGGGTATCGTGGCAGAGGCATGTCCATGGTGGAGAGGTGGATTTCCAGTGAGGGCGATGACATGTAACTTGGACATCTAAAAGTTTTGGCAGTCCTTACAAAGTCCAATTTTGGCCATTATTCAATTAATGCATTGGGACCAATGGCTGGACCATCACATGCTTCTTCATTTACGTATTTTCTCAAAGAAAGATATTTCCTTGTCCGCCTGTTGATATTTGTGTATGATGGAACTTTTTCATTGTTTCCAGAGTTAAGAGAAAAGCCAGATGCCAGGAAGTTTCACCTGTCTGTGATAACTGGGCGAGGCAAGCACAGTCAGGGGGGGTTAGCTAAGATAAGGCCTGCTGTCAAAGATTTCTTTAAGAGAAAAAACTACAGGTAAGAGACACCTATTCCCAATGGTGTTTTCGTATAAATTTTACATCTATTATTTATGTTTACTTTGGTCTATTTGTTTATCAATTACTCATTTATTTATTCATTTATTTATTTATTTGCCAGTGGAATATGAAAAAAAGCAAATATATGCATATATGTTTTTTTGGGTGTATTATTTGTATTAATGTAAACTGAAATATCTATTTGACTGGAAACAAAAATGAAACTGAACTTTTTTATTTTCAGTTTTACTGAGCCCCAACAAGGCCTTTTGAAAGTTCTTTTGAAGCAGTGACCAATGAAGACTATGGAGCGAATATCAAGTCTGGGGACAGTACTTTTCACAATTGCAGGGCCTTAACACATACGTACTTAAAAGATTTCTAATGCTGTATTTTTATGAATTTATATTTCATTGTGAAATGTATTGAAATGGAGCTAACAAAAAGCACTGTAAGCTTGGTTCATCTATTTTTTAATTATTTTACAGATGTTAAGATCTTTAAATTACTCAATAATTGCAGACAAATTGTGTAGCAATTTGACATTTTGTAGGATGTGTATATCATTTCAATTGATTTTTTTATCTCTCACATTTTTAATCTGTTTTAAAGAAGTAATTTATAAAAAATGAGAGCAAATGGGTTTTTTTAAATTGTTTTACTATTTCAGGAAGAAGGTAGCACTTGTTTACTTGTATATTTTTGTCATAAAATGCGATAAATAAATTATTTTACTTTCAGTAAAATATGTTGAATGGATTTTTTTTTCAACTAAAACCTTTAAACATGGTATTATTTTACACCTTAATGGTGCATTTCCAAGAAGAAATCAACATTATAACAATAGAAATTCTAAATATTATACAGTGAAAAGATGGATTTTGGTTTATTGTCATGTGAGAACGTTATACATATTTGATTTTGAAAAAATATTCATTTTGGAAATTTACTAAATTATTTAAACTGTTGGATCTTTTACTGTTGACAACTTTTGGGCTTGCTGAACATGCAAAAAATTAGAGTACTGAAAAAAAGGATGTTTGCTAAAATTTACGTAAAATTTGAGTGATCCAATGAATTACCATACGAAAATTCCATTGCGAAAAAACTCACAATGGAATTAGTTTCAAGAACGATAAAACTAATCATTTGTTTTGACCTGCAATAGACCAAGTATGAATTTCCCAATTATCTACGTTTTTGCGCCAAATTCTAAAAAATAATATCTCCTGAATTTCTGAAACGTAGCTTATTTGGAATCCATTGCCCTTTCAAATTACATCATTCCAAACGTCTATGACGGCATCATCTGCTCGATGTCCTTATCTGCCGCAGCGGCTTGACAACCTAGTTTGGCACCCTCCAACAGGGACACGGGATTTTTTTTCAAAATATATTCACAGAAATGTCTCTAGCTTATTCTGTGCATTTGTGCTATTGCAAGAATATATTGAATTGGCTTCCTCCCACACCTGGCCTGTAGTATAGAGTATTAGTATGCTCCTTCCTGTTTATGTCTTTCGATACCTTTATATAATAGTTCTGGAATAGTCTGACACGATTTTGCTCCCATTTGTTGTATACTATATATCATTCAAATACAATAAACTAATCTTTGTCCATATTGCAGGTATTTACAAGTACATATTTCCGCATATTTTGATAATAAGATATCCCCATATTTTGCATGCGTTTCCATCAACACAAAAAGAAATTCACTTAAGAACAACAATTGGCTTGTATACATGTGTTTCAAAATTCACGAGAACCTCATTAAAAGTAGCCCAGAAACGCCGAACCTGGCACGAACAGCCTAGATATCATTTTGTGGATATCTGGAAATATCCGAAACATAAAGACATCTTTTAAAAGCGGTTGTTTTGTGTTCGGTTCATCGATTTATATCCCGCAAGATGATGCTGTTTCTTCACACTAATAGATACATCGCTACGTCATATACATAGGACATTAACACATTGGGAAGTTTCCAAATCATTGTCTTTGAAACGCTGACCGTTTTGCCGTTTTTAAAAAGGCTAAATATAGGCCTGCAATCCACACAATCTACTGGAAATGCAACTTCTGACCAAAAAAACGTCAACTGGAATGGTTCAGAACTCGTTTCATGCGTAAAAGCATCGGTATTTTTTGTCATACTAGAGAGTCTGTAGCACTTCAATTCACCCAACTGACAGCTTCCTGGAGAAAGGTGTGACGGAACTGTTTTAACCAACACAGCGTGTATCAGACTCTAAACTCTTATTCTAAACAGTTTCCATAAACTCACGCCCAGAACAAAGTCCACTATTTCAGCAGCTGTCATCAAGGTGCTCCCCAGCACGAGACCCAACGCTCCCCCGATATCTGCGAAGAGGGTCAGAGCGCTGTACGCCTCCTGTTGCACCACCTCCTCGACGCTGATGTCAGAATAGAAAATATTAAGATCAACAAGGCTTTCCTTGAAAAACGATGCTTGTACGTTGTACATCGCGGCCAGTCTGTTTATTAGTGGTTCAGCCATTTTGGTGTGTGAAATTGAGTGTGTATAAAGGGTACTTTGACAAGCCTCCATGCAAGCACAGCCATTGTAACCAGCCATCGGTTCTGTGCTGATATTGAAACATCCAAACATGACATCTTTGAGGTTACAAGTTCGCATACCGTCGATTGTTTGGTTGCCCGTTATTGGTTGATGAAACAAGCGGCAACCACATGCTTGCATGCCAATAAAACTGAAAAGAAATATGTATGTGAAATGCACATCATCTCTGATTAGAAGAGGTTTCCACATCGATCACATATTATTAATTCTGCTGTCAAAAATTTAAGTGACTTTTTTAATGGTTTAGGTTATTATTTGCAAGCACTGAACGTGTGCTAATCATCTCAATTCACACTTGAAAACATATTGCAGTAAAGCACATATTTCAGCCAACACAGCGTGGATTAGACTCTACACTGTAAAAACAGTGCTTAGCATTTAAATACATACAACATTCGTTAAGCACCTATACGCATTTAGAAATATGTGTAAAAGCTAAGCACGTATAGCTTTTCAAGCGTTTCACAGAAGAAAAAGCTAGACACGTTGGCAGTGTTACACGTTTAGCTATGTGCTTAGCTTCACCGGTATATGGATCTATAATAAGTCTATCACAAGCTAAGCACATTGGCTAAGCACTTCCCCTGCTAAGCGCGTGAGGCTGCTAAACATATGGAGCTGCTATAGGTGTGGAATTCCTAAACGCGTGGAGCTGCTGAACAATACCCTCTATCAAGGCCGCAGTTCTTGGGGACATTTTTTGCTGAGGCGACATCAGACCAAATTGACTATCTATTTATCTAGAGACATATCTGTGAAAAATCAATCTGTCGCCCTGGTAGAGGGTAGCTGAACAACAAGTTTAGCTTTTCAAGCTTCTTTCAGAAGAAATAAAAATGTTTAACATTTTTAGAAGTGTCGCACTTTTAGCTATGTGATTAGTTTCACCGGTCCCATAAGTTTATTACAAGGCTCAACAATTTGGCTTAACACTTCCCCTTGTAAACGTGTGGAGCTGTTGGAGGCGTGGAGCAGTCTGCTCGAACGCTTATGGTAACGCTTATGGTAACGTTATGGGTGTTTTAACTCCATGCAAAATGATGTACAGTAACGTTATAATTTGTAAAAAGATTCGAAGACCGTTTCTACAAAATTTTATGATACATGTAACGTCATTTTGTGGAGTTTTATCAGCGTGTTTATAACATTCTGGAAAAACATTATATAATGTTTTGAAAACATTCTTTATATAAATAACCAAAACACGTCTTATGCTGTTTGAACTACAGTTAGCGGTTAATTCCAAAATGGGCTTGGGGTTAGTCGGCGACTAGAGCGGTGCAAATATTTGGACTATCGGTACCGAAATAACCAGCATGTGATGAAAGCTTAAATAAGGTATTATAATGAATACCCCGCCATCATCCTGATGTTCATTACTTCCGGAAAAAAATAATAGATATCAATACCGTAACGCATTTTATCAAAATATGGAGAAAGGTGTTTGAAAGTAAAAATGATAGTTGTTTCGTGCCTTTAGTGAACTAGTGAATAATCCTAACCTGCTTTTCAGAAATACATTCCAATAAACTTCCTCGCAAGGTCAGCTAACACAAGGATGAATAAGTACAGCTGTAAAGATGATAGTGGGAAGTCAACGATGTTGACAGTTCACGGTACCCTGGTTTAGAAAGAGATAACTATAGCAGTTAAAGGTGACCGTGACTTCGTCTGTGTGTGTGTGTGTGCGTGCGCGCGCGCGTGTGTGTGCGACTAAAACAGTTGAAACCCTTAGCACCTAAAAGTTAAACAAATACACCCTACATTTATAAGCCGTCAAACACGTCATACTGCTAAACACAAGCGTGTAACATGTTAAGAAGCTAAGCATGTTAGGAGCGAAACGCGTGGAAAAAGTGAGACAAAACAGGCGCTTAGAAATGTGTTTAGGAGCTAAACACTGTTTTTACAGTGTATATTCTCTTTCCAAACAGTTTCCATAAACTCACGCCCAGAACAAAGTCCACTATATCAGCAGCTGTCATCAGTGTGCTCCCTTTAAACCTGTATATAATAATGTGGATTGCTTTCCCCATTTAATGTGTGAATAAAGTAACTATTCGTGACGCACTACATGAGAACCAGTTAGTTAGCAACCGGCTCCATTTGTTATAACGGATAATACAACTACACATGTATTAACAGATGAATAAAGTACACGTTGTTTCCTCCCTGTCACATTTTGAATACTCACAGGCAAAGACGGCGATTTTCTGTATCATTGTTTCAAGAATCTACTTACGAGCATTCAGCATCACAATTAAGTTTGGTATATTTGGGGAAGTACTTCAAAGTTCTCTCTTTGCACTGTCCGTGTGGGGGAGGGAGATTCGTTCGCTGGAAAAATACATAATATAATATAATATAATATAATATAATATAATATAATATAATATAATAAAGGTCACTAGTTATATGCCTTAATTCTGTTAGTTGGCTTCAATATCTCTGAATTGTTTTAGGATTCACTGTAATTTATTTTGTGTGTATGAGTATATAAGGAGAAGAACTTTGTATCAGAGATCAGAGAGATTGTAGATCAGAGCTCAGAGTGAGTTTGATCAGTCGAACCGATAGCTGGATTGTCCCTGCTGTCTTAGGAGACGCCAGATCTCTCAGCCAGAGAAATAAACGTAGAGATCAGTCAGTTTGTAGTTGATCTCTGGAAACATATCACTGCTGCTGTGTTTCCTGCTGGAGAAGGAACACAGACCAAAGTGTCCCCCGTGATAGTACTCTTGTGTTTTGTATTTGTGTAATCTAATATTATATTATAATATAAACATATGAGTTGTGTTGTGTCTCTAAGCAAATGTTTCCAGAGCTCTTATTAGCTTTCACACCTATTGTGAAATACACTCAAAATTACATTGATGGTGTGATTTTTTTTATTTAGAATAATGACTTCGTCAAGTACTTAAGTGTGAACGAGAGTGAGAA